AAGCAGACAAGGGGAATGAGGGTCACGCGCACCATTATCGATGACTATGGCGCTGCCCTCAGGATCCGCCTTGCTCTGCTCCCACCCTGTGCTGTCCGGCAGCGTGGTCTGGAAGGACGGTGGGCGATCATTGGCCGGGTAGACCTGGGGCTCTGGCTTGGGTTGCTGGCGGACGGAGCGGTCAAGTGCGTCGCGCGAGGAGGGGATGGTATGCAGGGAGGTGATGGCCATCCTGAGGTTATCGGGTGGCGTGACCGAGTGGCCGGATGAGCTGGTCGGGCGAGTCGAGCTGAGCCCGCTCAGCCACTCAACAATCAAGTTCCATCAAGTATCAACCTGAGGATCACATGTGGTGTCAATGACATGATACTTGCTGCTCTCCCTGCGGTACAGTGGTTGAAGCAGCGCGGTGCCATTGAGCACGGCTGCCATCGCCTCTGAGTCACCGGCCATGTGGCACCCACGCGCAATTGACAGTGCTGAACCCCTATGGCGTAATGGCTAACGCGTTTGACTTCTACCAATCAAGTTGCTTGATTATCAAAAGATTCTCGGTTCGAGTCCGGGTAGGGGTGAAATTGTTTTTGGGGGGGAGCAGGGAGGTAGACACGGTTGGGCAGGTACAGTATCTATGAGCTGCCTTCTATTGCTACTCTTTTGCTGCTTGGTGAGGCACTCCATGAGGACCCAGAGTGCTGCTTCCCGCATGCTCGCAGTGCTTGCTGAACTCTCCTGCAGTCAAGGACCAGTGATCTCGCCGTACTCAAGACAGGTGCCCGTGTCTGAGCTTAAGAAGCCGCGGCGGTGCGATGCTTGAGATGGTTGTGCGTACTCTTGATGCCGTCGAAGTAGCTCCTCTGAGGTACCGCTTCCGAGGGGGTGTCTCACCAGTGCTGTCACAGCTGGTCTAGCAGGAGGAGGTGCTTGTGGCGGGTGTCAGATGAAGCTCCGAACAGCACTTGCAGCTCTTGTTGGGGGTGGGAGCTTCCTTGCCCCAGCAATGGGTGCGCTGTCGGGTTGGAGGTGTATCGTCTGGAGCTGTGGGCCGGTCCAAGCTGTCGATGTCGGGCTGCGAAAACGTAAGAAGAGCAGGGCCTTCTCCTCCCTCCAGACTCTCCAGACTCTCCAGACTCTCTTGACCATGCCCACGCCTCTGACTCGCATCGTCTGTCCGTCTGACTGCCGGCCACGCGGCCACGCAACGCGGGAGTGCAAAAAGTGATCAACGCAGGATTCGAACCTACGATCTTCCGTGTGCGCTTTTTGCGCGACTTTGTAAGACGGACGCCTTACCACTAGGCCAGTTGATCATAATCTGAGTTTGGCATCGTGACAAACCAAGTCGCCCGCACAGTGCCTCACCTACAACATCCACCGCCGCCATCAACCATCATCGAGAGATTCACGGCCTCATCCCCCATCCACCACTGACACCGCGCCGGCCATGCCACGCCCCCCTCAGCCATGCGATGGACGGCCTACTCACCGCCATCAAGACGTCGCGGGCAACCAATGGCCCGGCCTCGCCGGCCCCGTCGGCCCCGTCCGACGAGCTGAGGCCCGCAGCCACGCGACAGCTGTCCGCCGGTCGGGGTGTGCAGGTGCAGGAGCTCGAGCTACGGGACGTACAGGGGCAGGGACAGGGACAGGAAGCAGAGCAGACGAAGCCACACCGACCAGCAGCCTCGGTGGCGGCGTGCATTGAGATACTTAAGGACCAGCCTTCGCATGCAGAGTTGCTGGGCGTCCTGCAATTCCTCGACCCGGCATCAGTCGCATCGGACAGCACCTCACAGCTCAAGACGCGCGGGTCGCCTACGCCAGATGGCGGAGGACAGGGACCGGACCAGGTGCAGGCCGGGTCAGCACCGAGCAGCAATGACCAGTCGCCGCGATTGCCATTCGACATCCGCCTGCCTGGCGCGCAAGCCTCTCAGATCCTGCACCTCCTGACCTCCGTCGTCGTCCCGACTTTCTGGCCCACGCTGCGCCGCGAGAAGCCCCAACCACAGCCCCGCCAGGGCTCACCCCGCCTCAACGCACGCGCAGCTCTGCTGCGCTGCTTCAGCAGCGTCGCAGGTGTCGCGAGCCTGGTCGCGCGGCTACAGGTCCTGCTCGCCGCGTCCTCCCCGCCCCGACACCAGCCCGCTGGCGCCGCACCTCCCGCCGCGGCCGCGCGAGCGCGACCCGAGGCGGACGTGCAGGTGCAGGTGCAGGTGCAGGTGCAGGACGTCCTGTCCGTGCTGGCGAACGTGCTCAAACCGCCCGACTTCGTGCTGCGCGTCTACGCCCACATCCACAACCATGGGGCGCTCTCGCCGACGCAGCGGCGCGTGCTGTGGCAGGAGTTCGTGGCCTACGTCGCCGGAAGCAAGGTGCTGAGCGCGTGCGGCCGGGCCGTGCGTGCTGCGGACCTGAGTGCGTCGTCGTCGCCCCCGTCGTCGTCGTGGCTTGCTGGCGGGCGCGAGTATGCCGCCTGGTTGGGCCGCGCCATTGCCGTCCTAGCTCTGGCCGTACCCACCTCCAGTACGAAGGGCAACGGTGAAGGGCAGGACCCGTATGCGCCGGTGGCGCTGCTCCTCTCCAGAGCCATGAAGCTGGGCTACAACGGTACGTCTCTCTTTGCCTCCCCGCCCTGGCGGAGCCGGACCACCTCCTGACAGTCTGGCAGGCTGCCTCTTCAACGGGCTGGGCGACGGCCTGCTCGGACACGACGGCGGGGTCGACGCGTTCCGCCGCGTGCTGACCCAGCTGAAGAAGCACGAGCAGCTGGCCTGCCTCACATCGACCATCCAGCACCTGGAGTCGCACTGCTTCTCCGCCCCCGCCTCCATCTCCGCGCCCGACGACGCCCACCTGCGCCGCCGCATCTGCGGCGTCGCGCACCTCCTCGCCCGCCTCACCACAGGCAACACCCACCTCGCGCACGGCCTGCGCGACTGGCTCGCCGAGGGTAAGGTGTCGCAGGCCCCGCCGATGCAGCGCAGCCTGGTCGCCGCGCTGCTTGCGTTCGAGCTCGAGGCGCTGCTGCGCAAGGCGCTGGCGGTGTTCGGCGACCCGCTCGCGATGAAGCACGCGCCTCTCGCGCAGCAGGAGGCGGTGGCGCGCGCGGTCCTGCTGTGTGCGGCGCGCCTGCGCCGCGAAAACGACGCCGCGCTCCGCCACATCGCCAGGTCCGCCGTCTACCTCCAGGCAGTGACGAATCGCCTCGCTGCCTCGTCCCCCAGGGCGCGCACGCTGGGCATGCTCGTCGCGATGGCGCTGTCGGAGATGGTCGAGAAGCCGGGCGACGCGTTGCGCTTCGAGCTGGACGCGGAGCAGGCGGAGGCGCTGGCTGCCTTGCGACGTCTGGCGACGACCGTCGATGAGCCTGTCGAGGTCCCGTATGCGCAGCTGCGACCAGGACAGGTTTTAGGCACTGCCTCGCGGCTAGCCCCTGGGTCAAGAACAGCCGCGCCAACGGCAGCCGTCTTCACAGAGCGTGCGATTGAAGACCTCACCCTCAGCAGCGGTGGCGACAGCGGCGACGAGGACGGCAACGACGACGCGCAAGAGTTCCTGCCATACGAGAAGCCCGACAGCGATCCTGAGGACTCTGACGAGGACGCCGCGAACATCGTGCGTGACAAGCCGCGGCCGCCAATGTATGCTGTCCTCTGAACCCCTCCTTTCTCCCCCCTCTACTTGCAGCATGCTGACCGCTCCACCTAGATACATCCGCGACCTGCTCGAGTACCTCCGCGACTCCGAGAACTGCCCCCGGTACCACCTGGGCATCACCTCGGCCGCGACCCTCATCCGCAGGAAGGCGTCCTTCGGCACCGAGGTGCCGGAGCATATGACCGAGCTCGCCGCCGCCGCAGTGGCCCTGCAAGACAAGTACAACCTGGCCGGCTTTCACGAGCACCGGCTGCGCGCGCAGGTCGCGCTGCTCGTGTGCTACCCGCGCAGCATGGCCGGCTGGTTCGTCCGAATGCTGTTCGGCGGCGACATCTCGCAGGACCAGCGGTCGACCATCCTCGCTGCCTTGGGGCTGAGCGCGCGCGAGCTGGCCGGCTACGCCGCCGACGCGTCTGTATCTGCGCCTGCGCTCGCCGCACAGTTCCCGTCCAAGCGGCTTCCCGCCGCGATGGAGGCCATCTACGCCGACGGCGCGTCGACGATGCAGGCGCTGGCGCAGGCAGTCTCGGACACGGCGCTGCAGCCGCTGGCCGAGGAGGCCGTCGAGGCGTCGACGGGGCCCAGGGCGCTCAAGACGCGCGTCTTCTCCTCGCGGATGGAGGTGGAGGCCCGCAGGCGGCGGCAGGAGGAGCAGCGGAAGAGGCGGATCGCGCCGGACGTGCACCGGCTGCTGGCCGAGTCGTTCTACCTCCCGCTCATCAGCTCGTTCAACGTCGTGTGCCAGGCATGGTGCGTCCTCCTCTCCCCCCTCCCCGTGGTACGGCGTGCATGTGGAGCTGCGAGGGACCGATCTTCGAGCTGCGAGCTGCAGACAGGGATGCTCTGCTCTG